GGAAATCGTCTCAACAAGTGCTCACAACCAGAGGTATCACATCTGTGCCGCCGCATTTCTGTCTGTGGAAATGTTTGAGCCGCTGCAGTCTGATGTTTAAACACGTGGATGAAGAAGTTCCACTGTTCCACTTCCACTGAGTCAGAGAATAAAATAACACACATTTAACAAATGAGACCAGTGACACACGTCTCTTTTGTAAACTTCTCCACACCCCCACTGAGAAATAATTGAATCAAGTGCTCCCGCTAAAGATATCTCCGGGGGTGTAATCCAATAACGTGGTCCCTTTCGTTCCACATGAGGAGCATCTCTGAGGAGCAGCCCTTTCACCCAGACAGCAGAGGGGGCTTCAACCTCTCACTCGATCTGTCTCTGTCTCTACATCACACACACACACACACACACAAATACACACACACACAAACACACACACACACACACACCACTGAGCTCCATCTTTAGCCAGACAGCAACGGGCATTAGTAAACAATCTGCATCCTGCCCACTGGAACATCAGAGCTGAGAGAGACGGCTGCTCCTGCTGGTTTTCCCATCCAAGTGAAATGTCCAGGCTCTGTCAACAAATCACAGTCCTTCTCCCTCATCCCTCTTTCATTTCTCCTGTCTCTTTCTCCCTCAGTGTCGGTGTGCGGACCTCCACCCCCGCAGGTTGCCAGGATGAATGAGAGGCTGTTAGAGGCCAGTGCTCAATTCAAGAAGAAGCAGCCTAAAGGCACGATCGATGTGTGGTGGCTCTTCGACGATGGAGGTAGGTGTCGGTTCCCTACAGGCAGTTTTCTCGTATGCGCCTCGCCTATTGATTGTGATGGACACGTGCACTGAGACGCAGAGTCACCGCCTCAGAAAGATTCAAGAAATCTGACGAAAAGAAATCAAACCTGAATAATTCAATTAAAAGGGAGACAAAGATGGTAAACTAGAAGTCATCCATACAAACTTTAAACCATTTAAACACTTTCTTATCAGCCTTTCGAATATATCTTGCATTGTTAAAGAAAGTGAGAATCTGAATCTGAACTGTAGTTTTTGTATAAACCTGCTGAAAAACAAACCAACAGAGTGGAAAATGTAATCTCCTTGTGTTGATTATAATCTTCACTTCTGAAATCAAGAGCCTTGTGTCACCGGACAAAACTAATACAATAAGAGCAGAAATGTCCGATTAGGTCCAAAATCTGCTGAGTTGGTCCAGGCTTGATGAAGATACTTAGATCTTATCACGACCAACACATGAACATTCACATCTTGGCAAATTTTAACAAAACAAAGGTTATTAGTAATAAATCCCAGTGAAGTGACTGATATGTAAAAGAGAAAACCAATGTCTCCTCCCTCAGGCCTCACCCTGCTGCTCCCCTACATCCTCACCACCAGGAAGAAGTGGAAAGACTCTAAATTAAGGATCTTCATCGCAGGGCAGCCTGACCGCAGCGAGCTGGATAAACAGGAGTGAGTAGAAAAAGTTTTAATTACAGCTGAATAAGTGGAAGTTAGTTGGGGTAAGGGGGCGGCACGGTGGTGTAGTGGTTAACACAAGCACATCCTTTCTGAGTGGAGTTTGCATGTCCTCCAAGTGTCTGTGTGTTTTTTCTCCAGCAGTGTAATGGATGGATAGTTTGGGTAAATTAATTAAAACCAGATCTGATAATTCATCAGCTCATGAGATGTTATTTAGCATTAACTGAAACATTTATGTGAAAGTTAATCAGTGTGGGACGATGCATCTTGCAGGATGAAGTCTCTGCTGCAGAAATTCAGGATAAACTGCACTGACATCAAAGTCATTGATGACATCCACGTCAAACCCAGCTCCGCCAGGTAACTGCTGTTTCTCTCACTCCGCTGTAATCCTGACAGCAGACCAGATGGTGCAACAGAAACCGTAAAATGTAATCACCTCATAATATTTATTCCATATATTATGTGATCTAAAAAAAGAGAATATTTCTTCTGTCCTCCAGCCTGAAGCAGTTAGAGGACATGATCGAGCCTTTCCGTCTGCGTGAGGGCTCCAAAGACAAAATCCAAGCTGAAGCCATGCAGAGAGAGCAGCCCTGGAAAATCACTGACGAGGAGCTGAACAGCTTCGAGGAGAAGGTAAAATCATGACATAAAACAATTATTTCATTTAGTTTGAAAGTGGTGTTTTAAAAAAATGGCCGCTGCTGCTTTACAGACCAACCTCCAGGTGCGACTGAACGAGGTGCTCCAGGAGAACTCCAAATCAGCCAACCTGATCATCGTGTAAGTAAAAGCAACTGTCGGCTGAAAAACATGAAACTGTCCAAACAGGAAACAGTGTTCAACCCATCTCATGCCTGTGCCCCCTCCCCCTGCAGGAGCATGCCCATTGCTCGCAAGGAGTCCGTGTCTGACTTCCTCTACATGGCCTGGCTGGACATTCTAACCAAGGATCTTCCACCAACGCTGCTCATCAGAGGAAACCACAAGAGCGTTCTTACTTTCTACTCCTGAGCACCGCACAGACTAAATGGCTGAGCTCTAGTTAGCTAGAAAAAAAAGAGAAAGAAATGGCAGCACCATAATGATGAACCATGTTCATAAAGCGTAAGAACAAGAATGTTATTCAGACAAAACAGCGTTTTCACTTTACCCCCCATGAGACCGTTCATGCTCCAATTCTCATTGGAGCAGAGGAGAAATAGAACGATTAGGTGTTTGACAGCTGGTGTTCTCGATGTCATTAAGAGTCATCGTCACAGGAAACGCCTTATTTTACTACGAGCCTGTTTTTATAGCTTGGTCTGGAATATGAGCTGTTTCCTGGAAGCTTGTGGAAAAGAAGCTGCAACAAGCTTCTACACAAAAGTAAACTTTTTATGTCTTAAAGATATTTTTAAAAAAACTTTCTGATGCAGAGTTTAAATGTGGATTTTGGAGCACCAGCAAAGTTTAAGGTATTTTTCTATATTTTTGAAGTTTATTGCAACAATGAACACACACACACACACACACACACACACACACACACACACACACGTTTGGAACAAAGCCAAATCTTCGTGGTGGGATCAGTCCAATGAGCGAAGGCAGCGACACAAGCAAAGGTTACTTCAGTGGTTTCACTGAGAGACGTGTGCTGCTGTTGTGACTGTAAAATAAATGTACATAGTAGATATCTGAATTCACTAGTCCTTATTTTTATTAGTAATAAAAAAACTTTTCGTCAATGATTAACTGCACAATTTCTTTACAATTACTTTCAGTTCTCTTAAAACTCAAAGTTTGATGATTTCTTTCAAACATTCTTGATATTCACTGAGTGTAAATTACACTGCTACTATAAAGCTGTTTCACATGGTACAGTTTCAATGTTTCAATGTTACCATCACACTTTTTGCGGGGGAAATTTAGAAAAACAAAAAGATCATACATCCAATTCTTCTGTATATTTTAGCCTTTTGTCTGTCTTCCTATTTAAATACATGATTGTGATTCTCTGATTAAAGAATAAATAAAAATTAGGAGTGGTTCTTATTTTGTCTCTGTTATTTCTTTGGTTTTGAAACTTTATTTTTAACTATGTTTATTTGATATATCGAGCGATTATGTGCAAAACATGAAGTCTGTGAACTTCATCAGAAACTAAAGGGATTTATAAAGAGTTAGTGGTCACATATGCGGATCTTGGATATGAGCTTTTAATTTGAATTCATCCCGAATTGCAATTCTATTTTATCACCAACAGGAGACAGCTAATTGGATCCACTCAAATGATGATGAACATTAGAGGAGACAGTCATAAA